GTATAACACGGGTGGTACTCGAACAAGGGGACACAGGTAGAAACTGAGTACCCAAATGAACCACAGGGACGTTAAAAATAACTTTTTCAGTGTCGGAGTATTTAACAGATGGAATACATTAGGCAGTGATGTGGGGGAGGCTGACTCCATACACAGTTTCAAATGTAGATATGATAAAGCCCAGTAGGCTCGGGAATCTGAACACCTGTTGATTAACAGTTGAGAGGCCGGGATCAAAGAGCCAGAGCTCAACTCCCCGCAAGCACAACTAGGTGAGTGTACACACATCCCAAGGAAGCAGTCCGTAGCATGTGACTAACTCTCAGGTACTTACTTCCTCCTAGGTCAACAGGGACATCAAGGCGAAAGAAACTCTGCCCTTGTGTTTCCGCCTCCGCCGGGAATCGAACCCGGGCCATTAGGAATACGACCCCTAAGCGCCATCCACTCAGCCGCGAGGCCCCACAGGTACCCCACGACTGATGTGTATGTGTGTGTGTGTATATATACACACATGTGCGCAGGATAAGCCACACAACATGCAGACTTATCCATGTGTGTATTATACAGCATTATCCTTCTGTAAGTCCTTACACTCTGACTTTCAAGCTGACTTAATCCAGTTTAGTAAAGGTCACTGCTAATGGAAGGTCTTGTTTGTGGCTCTGACGTGGCAATGGTGAGTATACTGTCCTATTATGAGTCGCTTGGGTGAGAAGGAAAGGCATTCAGGTACGTAAGTGCGAATTCAGATGTGATTCTCTAGGTGGGTTCTCGTGTTCTTCGTATTTATGAATGTATATAGACAGAACAGGTTTTCCTTATATAAAAATATGGATATATAACGATTTGTTTAACCAGACCACACACTAGAAGGTGAAGGGACGACGACGTTTCGGTTCGTCCTGGACCATTCTCAAGTCGAAACGTCGTCGTCCCTTCTTTTTCTAGTGTGTGGTCTGGTTAAACAAATCGTTATATATCCATATTTTTATGGATATATAACCTTCACACACTAGAAGGTGAAGGGACGACGACGTTTCGACTTGAGAATGGTCCAGGACGGACCGAAACGTCGTCGTCTCTTCACCTTCTAGTGTGTGGTCTGGTCAACATACTTCAGCCACGTTACTGTGACTCATCGCCTGCACGATTTGTTTAAATTCTTATCAATGTATTTGAGTATGTTGGCAAAACGAGTAACTTTGGAGAAGTAAACACCATATGAGAAATAATAAAGAAAATCAGTAACAATCAACATATATATATATTAGGGGTTAGAAAGGGGTGAATGAATAAGTTATAGTGTGTACCATTATTTAGGGCACGTTTCGTCTTAGTAAAGGAAGGGGAGAAGAACTGCGAGAATGATTCCCCCTTAGTGTTGAAGATTGATGATAGATTGATGAAGATTAAGCCACCCAAGAGGTGGCACGGGCATGAATAGCCCGTAACCCCGTGTTGAAGAGCTGCATAAAGTGGTCTCAGTCTGTACCTTTGTCTAAGGTCGTGAGTCACTTGTGTAAACCAGAGGAGAAGAGATAAATATTCCCAGAAGAGAGATATGATGATCATTATACATAATCTATGTAGCTTTAGAAGCCGCCATGAATAAATGAATTTTGTCTTTTTAAGTAACTTTATTCTTCATCTTCATTCCTTCAACTGCTCGTTCTTGTCTTACGACGGGTTTCGATCGATGAAAAGTGGGTGTAATGATAGTGATGTTAATGTGATACCAACAGACTTTTAAGAAGATTAAAAATGTAAATAACTTGAGCGTTTTCATGCATAATATAAATAATTACTTACAGATAGTAAATTATAAATATTTTTATCGTGTAGTATTTTTTTTTATTAACACGCATTGAAGGCTATGTAGCCATATACAGGTAAGCTTGATTGAACGCACATATGCGTACACATACGGGTTTGAGGTATGCTCGATTAAATATACCTGCCGAAATGGGGATAGTCTTTACTGCAGTAGCAGTAGGCATCAATCAGTCATAGGAGACTATGGAGTTGCATTCTGGTTAACGACTAACTTCATCAGTAACGAGTAACCCCTTCAGTAACGACTAAAGTTACAACAGTAACGTTAAGAAATCCTGGTCCTTGTCAAATCTACTTGTGAAACGATTTCTTGTATTAATCTGTTCTCTCTCTCTCCCTCTCAGAGTGTATGTATGTGTGTGTTTTGTTTTACGATTTGCCATTTACTATTTGTACCTGCAGGATCGAGCTGTTAGTTCTTGCACTATGATACCTAATACATATATTACACACACACACACACACACACACACACACACACACACACACACACACACACACACACACACACACACACACACACACACACACACACACACACACACACACACACACACACACACACACACACACACACACACACACACGGGATCCAAGAGTCAATGCTCGATCCTGCAAGCACAAATAGGTGAGTACACACACACACACACACACACACACACACAAACATACACACACACACACACACACACACACACACACACACACACACACACACACACGGGATCCAAGAGTCAATGCTCGATCCTGCAAGCACAAATAGGTGAGTACACACACACACACACACACACACACGCACGCGCGCGCTGCCATCGACAAAGCAGCTTGAAACACAAGAAACATCAATCAGAAAAACAGACCTCTGAACCGAGCACGATGGATCGCCCAGTGTCGCAATGGATTCGACACGAGTCCTCTTTTGAAGCCGAAGCTTCCCCAGCTGAGAACAGTCGGGGCACAAAAGAGGTCCTAGAGAGGAATTTTAAATCAAGCGGAAGCGGAACAGTAATAACTCGGAGCCGAAAACGTTTGGGAAATCTGGCTCGATCGGTCACAATGAGAATGAAGACTGCGCGAACCTGTTGATTAGCTGTGTTAAGGGAGGGAGTGACTGGATGTCTGGGGACATGTAGGAAGGAAGGAAGGAAGGAAGGAAGGAAGGGGGATGGGAGGAGCGGAAAGAGGAGGAGGAGGAGGAGGAAGAGATAAAGAAGTAGCTAGAGAGAATGAGATAGAGAGCTAAGGGGGTTTCAGAACAAAAGATCAGAGGTGTGACTGTAACAGAAAAAGTGATTGGAAACATGCCAATCATTAGTCATATCATTTGTCATTTGGAATATGCTACAGATATTGTTTAGACCAGTGGAATTCAAATTGGTCCAGTACGACCAGTCGTGCCTGCTCGTACAAGATGATTCTGTTACTATGTAAACTTTAGACAAATCTTGATCAAAACTTAGTTTCCATTAAGTTTCTCTTTTTAGTTCACCTTTAATTTTTAATTTAATAAACTGTGCTTTGTTAACTCTTGGATTCACTCATAGGTATTCAAAGTTGCATTACCATAGTTACCACGAGATCAAATTATATATCAGTCGTGTCATCTTGTTAGTCTTGCATGTAAGGAGTCAGATGCATAACATTAATCCAGTAAAGATTGATCAATTTGGCATAACATTTGGTATTTTAAGAAACATTTAGACAGTTCTGCTTTGGGCCGAACTGTCTAAATTTGGGCCCAGTCAACATAGGCTCAGGGCCCCTAGTATTCCCCAAGCTCATGAGAGACTTGGCTCAGGGTCCCTAGTATTCCCCAAGCCCCTGACAACCCTGACCGTGGACCTTATACAGTCTATATCTACGTGTTCTTATATACAGACCTAAATACATAATTTAACAGGGCCGAGTTCAATACCAAGAAGATCCAAGTGAATGAAATATCATTATGCACTATAGGGTGCTTTTACAATTTATATACATACCTATATATATATCTTACATAACTGTTTATATTTACAAAATATTCATATGCAGGCGATGAGTCACACTAACGTGGCTGAAGTATGTTGACCAGACCACACTCTAGAAATTGAAGGGACGACGACGTTTCGGTCCCTTACTATCTATAATGCAGAAAATGGCACCTATTTATCTTGTGCCCAACCTCTAATTTTCGCTTATTAATTTTTCCGTTTTTTTAGAGGTTTCATTTTTCCATTCGTGTTTCAAAGTCTTGCAATTGTTCGTGTTGCCCAAGTCCTCCATAGCTTCCTTAATACACAATTCTTCTGACGTGAAAGGGGGTTTGAGATCCATGCTTCAGATTCTAGCACTGTATCATGTCCCAATTCCACTGTTTTCTACAGCTTGGCTTGTATCGACTTTCGTTCTCGCTGCCTTAGCTTCGTCTTGAGGTCAAACGTGATTTCTCAATAGCTTAAGCTTTTCGCGTAGTACTTCCACTCATTTCTCAGGGCACCAAACAGTTCCAACCAGTTCTATGGGCAAGACACACGTCTCCACGAGGAACTTATGTCCCAGTATCTAAACCATCTAGCACAGAACAGTCTATACTTAACGAAAAGACACCCCACAGGTCTCAAGCCACCCCAGAGGTCTCAAGCCACATCCGTAGCAACCCGTTCTCTTAAAAATAACGTCACTTTTCGCTGGTATGCGCGCTATGGCCAAATTTGGACGTAATTTGAAATGAAATCGACTCACAAAAGTGACGTACTGTTCCGTTTTCTGTTTGAGTCGTCCGGCTTACTCTGCAAGGTTAAAAAGAGGCAACTTTCCATTAACGTTTTTCATACCGTTTTGAAACTTTATAAGAATTTCCTGCCCACCTAACCTATCAGAGGACCCTTAACTTACTGTTGTTGAAAAAAAAATCCCAAATATAATTTCATTTTTTTTTCATTTTCAAATTACGTCCAAATTCGGCCATACGGGCAAACGGCCAAAGGCGACGTTCTTTTAAAGAGGACAAGTTCCCGTAGAGCATTAAACCCATCGCCAACCCAGTTGTAGATGCCAAGACAGGTTCAAGGAATAACTGAGTAAAGAGACCTTTCAACCAGTCTCCTGGCGTCCCTTCCCCCCATCAAGGGCCATTAGAAACCGTGGCTATCAGGTAATACCCTCTTTCTCACCATCCTTACCTGATCGAAGCCGCTGAAGATGGTGAGGGCGCTGCCTGCCACCTCCAGACATTTCCTACCTTCGCCGCTAACGTCCAAATCCGTGAACTTGATGCCAGCCAACGTTGGCACACGTTCTACGCCTTTGGCAAGAAACTCGCTCATGGATACTGTTAGGGAAGATAAATGGTGGTGAAGACCGGCCAAACACACACCGAAACTACGACGTTGGTACAACGTTCAAAGAAGTTTTAACACCACCTAACCAGTTATAACAACCAATATAACAAGTTGTAACAACGTTCTAATACGTCATAAACACGTTAAGCCAAGATGTAACAACTTTATTACAAGTTGTAACAAGCGGAAAATAGAGACAGTTTCGGTTTGTGTTTCCAGGGTTCGAGACACTCGGAAAGTTAGATGTTTGCCAGATGCCTGTTTCGAAACTTTGGAAAATGATGTCGGAAAATATGCGAGACTAATGGCACAGCGAGCATATATATCTCTGCTGCGCCAAGACGTTAATAAGCTTTAGTGTAATAAGTTTGGATGAAAGGAGGCGCCGAAAACTAACGCGATTAAAAATTGATGCTGTTAGCTTGAGCGAAGAGGAAGGATGTGGTGAGGTAAAGACAGAAGGAAAAAGGGGGTTCCTGTCACGTGGTAGGGAAGGAATGGGAGACAATCCCTGCCACAGGATAGGGAAGGAATGGGAGACAATCCCTGTCACAGGATAGGGAAGGAATGGGAGACAATCCCTGTCACAGGATAGGGAAGGAATGGGAGACAATCCCTGTCACAGGATAGGGAAGGAATGGGAGACAATCCCTGTCACAGGATAGGGAAGGAATGGGAGACAATCCCTGTCACAGGATAGGGAAGGAATGGGAGACAATCCCTGTCACAGGATAGGGAAGGAATGGGAGACAGTCCCTGTCACGTGGAAGGGAAGGAATGGTAGGCGGTTGCTGCGTGATAGCTTGGGGGTACATGCGTGGCTGGACCTGAACAAACTTCAGGTCCATCAGTCATTATATGACTGCCCTCAAGGCAGTCATATAATGAGATGGCATTCAGACAGGAGGTCGAGGATCAACATGTTTCGCTCTCTGGAGCAGAGCTGTGCCTGGGGGGTGAAAACTAGCGGATCACAAACATCCACGTTTCGTAGGTGGGTGGATTGGGTTGGTGCAGTTTTAGTACCCTGTATTTAGTCCGTTGGTAGAATTCAAGACACTCCGTGAAAGATGCACAGGTTTCTGTCTTGTCTAGGCTCGAACGTTTCTGGTAACTCACTGCACTATTTTGATTCTATCTTGAGGTTATCTTGAGATGATTTCGGGGCTTAGTGTCCCCGCGGCCCGGTCCTCGGCCAGGCCTCCACCCCCCAGGAAGCAGCCCGTGACAGCTGACTAACTCCCAGATACCTATTTACTGCCAGATAACAAGGGCATTAGGGTGAAAGAAACTCTGCCCATTGTTTCTCGCCGGCGCCCGGGATCGAACCCGGCACCACAGGATCACGCGTCCAGTGTTCTGTCCGCTCAGCCACCGGCCACCTAGTCAAAATTAAACCCCGTAAATTTGATGGATTGGTATATTGTATAAAGTGAGAGGACAGGTTCTAGAACTCCGTCGACGGGTAGGAATCGAACGTGTAAGTAGAATAGACGGGTTTCTTGTCGGGGACAGGAAGCCTGTAAGACTCATCGTGTCACCTTAGGCCTACTATTGACGTTCCCCCTAATATGCAACCCACAACAGCTTTGTAATCATAGATACAATTACTCAAGCAATACTCTCTCGTATAAATTTCCACTACAATTCTACAGGAAAATTTATTTTATACAGAATTTTTCACCTGTTAATTAAAGAAACTAATTAAATATTAATTATAGGTCTATTATTAGTTCATGAAAGATTAAGTGTTAAGCCCAATCGTTATTGAGGTCACTTAATTTCTTGAGCATCAACGCATCTCTAACCTCTTTTTTCCTCACAAGCCTAATCCATCTTATTTTTTTTCCTTTTTTTCCCCATTGTCCCCTCTTTTCTTCCCTCTTCATCTCTCCCCAACTAGCTGCGCCTTCCTCTTCCCTTGGGGCCACGCTGGGCTCTAGAGGGAAGCTGATTATTGATCACGTTCTTAATATATATTCTGTGAGGTCACTTATCGCTGTGAACTGATTAGCCTCTACTACTCTTCTCCTTCTGCTCCTCCTTACCAGGCTAAGTAACGTAATGGCCTGGCGCTTTCCCTTGATAATGAGAAGGCATTATTCCCCTGATAATAAAATATTTCCCTCCAACTCTTCAGAAGATTCATTTGAATCAAGATTCGTCAAGTCTTCAGATTCCCTTCTAGTCTTCAATAATGCCCTAATTCTAGGGCATTATTCCCCCTTGATAATTCCCTCCCTTCCCTTCTCTTCCTCCCTCCTCTTCCCTATGTTTATCGCCCTTCCCCTACCATCCACTCTCTTGATTTTTTTAATGCTGTCCAACTCTTTCTCTAGTCCCCTGCTTCTACCCCCTATTGCTATTCTTCTCCTGCTCCTTATTCTTATTTTACATTTATGAAACACCTGTTATTCCACTTCTAGTATATGTGATCTTTCTCTATTTTCTTACGTACTCTTCTCCTTCAGTATATTTATTTATATATACAAGAGTTCTTACAATTTTTGTAAAGCCATTAGCACGCGTGACGTTTGGACAGGTCCTTAATCCAACGTTTCCCGGAATACGACCCGCCAAATCGCTTAATAACCAGGGGCTTGATTCACGAAGAAATTACGCAAACTTTTATTTGGAAATTACGAAATTCCTCAATCTTTGACGGCTTTGGTTACATTTATTAAACAGTTTACAAGCATGAAAACTTGCCATTCAACTGTTGTTATTGTTATAAACAGCCTCATGGTGCTTCGGAGCTCATTAACTGTTTAATAATTGTAAACTAAGCCACCAAAGATTGAGAAAAGATGTTCAGGTTCGTAAGTCTTTGTGTAAATGATTCGAGAATCTAGCCCCAGGGCTTTTGGGGTCAGGGCTGTGGGGTCAGGGCTGTGGGGTCAGGGCTGTGGGGTCAGGGCTGTGGGGTCAGGTCTTTGGGGTCAAGGCTGTGGGGTCAGGGCTCAGGGGTCAGGCCTCAGGGATGTGCCCATGCGTGGTACAGATCTCTGGAGAACAGACATAAAGTACTTCAGATCGAGTGAACTACGCTACAAATATAAGTACTGCATGTGCTCTTTAACTGGTCATTAAATCATTATCATGTTACCTTAGAGAACTATAGTTTGGATAATTAATTTAAAGGACTAAATAGGGTAATGTTTGAACTATTTTTCCCCCTTTGTGTGCTAACTGAATTGTCCCTATGAGACATATTAGTGAGCTGAGCGCCCCTTAGGTCTATTGACCTAGTGTCCGTAATTGTCAGTTATTCCTCCCTTCATCAGTCGATGTCAGTACTTGTGTACTGTGAGCAGTTTGTTTATACCCCATGTTGAGTGCATTTTGAGTGCTTTAGAGCTATTTGAGCTACGAACTAGGACTCTTTGCTTTGTTACACTCACACACACACACACACACACACACACACACACACACAACCATACTATTCATAATTTTAAAACCAGGTATGATAGGGAAATGGGACAGGAGTCATTGCTGTAAACAACCGATGCTCGAAAGGCGGGATCCAAGAGTCAATGCTCGATCCTGCAGACACAACTAGGTGAATACAACTAGGTGAGTACACACACACACACACACACACACACACACACACACACACACACACACACACACACACACACACACAACACACACACACACACACACAGCAACAGTAACATCTAATTTCCCATCTTACTCCCTAGTTCCCTTGTACCAGTCAACTCAGGGTGGTGGCAGTGTACAAATGTGTTGTTCTCAGGCAAGTATCCCCTCTCTCTCACTTCTTGATCCTCTCTCTATACCTCCATTATAACTGTGATCATATCTCAGTTATATCAGTAGTTCATCTGGTTATATTGTGATTGTTCACCCTTAGTGTGTTATACGATTAGGGGAACACAGGGTGTATGGCTAGGACTAGGGGGACACAGGGTGTATGGCTAGGACTAGGGGGACACAGGGTGTATGGCTAGGACTAGGGGGACACAGGGTGTATGGCTAGGACCAGGGAACACTAATGGAAGCTGAAACACCCAAATGGAGACAGTAAATTTGAGATGACACATAATCGACAGGGTAGATAAGGATAAATTGTTTAACACGGGTGGTACGCGAACGAGGGGACACAGGTGGAGACTGGATACCCAAATGAGCCACAGGGAAGTTAGAAAGAACTTTATCAGTGTCAGAGTTGTTAACAGGGGGAATGCATTAGGCAGTGATGTGGTGGAGGCTGACTCCATACACAGTTAAAATGTAGATATGATAGAGCCCAGTAGGCTCAGGAATCTGTACATAAGTTGATTGACAGTTGAGAGGCGGGACCAAAGAGCTAAAGCTCATCCACCGCAAGCACAACTAGGGGGGAGGGGCACGTACACACATACATACATACATACTCATCCAAACACACATTCGCAAAGGCTAAACAAAATTGCTCTCCTGATTTTCAATTTTTGTTAGTCAATATTGAAGGATATTTGTGTTGAATATTTTGAAGGTTGTCTCCTAACTACGCGAACTGGACGATAGAGCGACAGTCTCGCTTCTTGCTGGTCGGCGTTCAATTCCCAACTGTTCCTCACCGTACCCCTCCCGTCCCCCTTCCCAAAGCCTTATCCTCATATCCTTTCCACTGTCCTATACAGTCGTAATGGCTTGACAATTTCTCAGTCAATTACTTTCATATAAAGGCAGGCAAAAATTCCGTTCATATAAAATAATTGCCTTTGGAAACTAGCAAGATGGCAAGTGCACACTGCAACAAAATTCGCTGCAGTTTAATGATGTAATGATCAGCAGCTGAATGCAAATGTATTACGAGGCAAATGTAGCTGTGAAATTTCAATGAAAACTATACAGGCCATTATTGGTAAGCGTTTTATTCCCATGTAGGGAGCCGGTCGGCCGAGCGGACAGCACGCTGGACTTGTGATCCTGTGGTCCTGGGTTAGATCCCAGGCGCCGGCGAGAAACAATGGGCAGAGTTTCTTTCACCCTATGCCCCTGTTACCTAGCAGTAAAATAGGTACCTGGGTGTTAGTCAGCTGTCACGGGCTGCTTCCTGGGGGTGGAGGCCTGGTCGAGGACCGGGCCGCGGGGACACTAAAAGCCCCGAAATCATCTCAAGATAACCTCAAGATGATGGTGAATGGTTGTGAAGCTACGGTGGAGCTCCGACCCAGCACTCATACGTGTATTCTGAGTCGTCAGATATTCCTGTTTGTGACTGTGTAAAGTGAATATTCAGGCGATGAGTCACAATAACGTGGCTGAAGTATGTTGACCAGACCACACACTAGAAGTTGAAGGGACGACGACGTTTCGGTCCGTCCTGGACCATTCTCAAGTCGATTGACTTGAGAATGGTCCAGGACGGACCGAAACGTCGTCGTCCCTTCAACTTCTAGTGTGTGGTCTGGTCAACAAAGTGAATATTCTCCCTGGTTATCATAATCTACACAAACAAAGCACTCTAGTTATCATTCGTGTCACCTTCATTATACATAAGTGTTCGTACGTGTGTGTTTCTGGTTGTGTACAGAAAAGTTGTGAGTTCGGGAAAGTTGTGAATAGATAAACGTGTGTTTTATTCATCATATACAGTTTATATGCCCCTGTTACCTATGCAGTAAAATAGGTACCTGGGTGTTAGTCAGCTGTCACGGGCTGCTTCCTGGGGGTGGAGGCCTGATCGAGGACTGGGCCGCGGGGACACTAAAGCCCCGAAATCATCGCAAGATAACCTCAATATATATGATTTATAGGATGGGAACCGGTGGCTGAGCGGACAGAACACTGGACGCATGATCCTGTGGTCCCGGGTTCGATCTCGGGTGCCGGCGAGAAACAATGGGCAGAGTTTCTTTCACCCTGATGCCCCTGATACCTAGCAGTTAATAGGTACCTGGTGTTAGTCAGCTGTCACGGGCTGCTTCACTGGGGTGGAGGCCTGGTCGAGGACCGGACCGCTGGGACACTAAGCCCCGACATCATCTCAAGATATATCCCCTCAGGTACTCCTAGTCACCAGCTCAAGCTCTTCATTAACTTTTATCAAAACAGCAGTTAATAATAATAATAATAATAATAATAATAATAATCTATGAATATGCTTGAAAACGAAAACATATATATATATATATATATATATATATATATATATATATATATATATATATATATATATATATATATATATATAGGTAAATAACTACATTGTATAACATTGAAAAATAGTATTTCGAGAAACCAGCGAAGATGAATACACAGAAACTGCACAATCGGGTTGACAGGCCTAATTACGCTCACCTTTAAATTGTAACAGAGAAATCGTTACAGCCCTGGATTACAGCCTAACATAACAATTAACCAAGCCTAAAATACAAAATAAATGCTAAATCAAGTCGAAACCTGACGAAAACTTAATACATGAATCCTGGACTTATTAACTTACAAGTGACACCTGTTTTGGTGGGAAAGTGGTAGTAGAAGAGTGGTGTATTGGGACACGCCTTTGCTACCTCCACCATGTACTCGACCAACTCATCTGTTGTGGCAGGCTTGTCGAAGAGGCACGGGAACACGGCCACCCCTTCAGCACCCAGGTCCTCAGCGTGGCGTGCCTGAAATCACCTTATCATAAGGCTCTTACGAGGACGCTCTTACATCCGTCGTTTCATAAAAGTTCTTTTGGGCCCGTTATGTAGAGTCTGGTTGGGAGGCTGATGTGCACACGGGTATCGTAAGACTCTCTCAGCCTCGACGAGTCTACATAACGACACATGGGAAGTTTGGGTTTACTTTGTGACATAAATCTTCTATAATATTCTGAGACGAGCGTTGAAGGAGGCGTCTGCCCTAGTTTGTCAGTCTTGGTTTCTATCCCCCCCCCCTCTCGCCCTCTTTATATTTCTGTCCGTCTCTGTCTGTCTCTGTCTGTCTCTCTGTCTGTCTCTGTCTCCTGTCTGTCTCTGGCTGTGTCTGTCTGTCTGTGTCTGTCTGTCTGTCTGTGTCTGTCTGTCTCTGTCTCTGTCTGTCTCTGTCTCTCTCTGTCTCTGTCTCTGTCTCTGTCTCTGTCTCTGTCTGTCTCTGTCTCTGTCTGTCTCTGTCTCTGTCTGTCTCTGTCTGTCTCTGTCTGTCTCTGTGTCTCTGTCTGTGTCTGTCTGTGTCTCTGTCTGTGTCTCTCTCTCTCTCTCTCTCTTCTCCCCCCCCCCCCCCAACAAACACTTGGCTAGAAGTTTCGTGTCTTATCTCACTGAAGTCTCTCACAAACACTCAATGTCTCTCCACACACACTCCTCGTTTGGTGTTTGTCTACACAATTGCCCTTCCCATTAAACAAAAAATCTTCATTTCGAAATTCGAATCTCTCTCTGTCCTCCCCTTCTCTCACATTCTTATCTTTCTCGCAATTTTCTGTGTATATACTTCTCTCTCTCTCCACACACACACACACACACACACACACACACACACACACACACACACACACACACACACACACACACACACACACACACACACATTGACAGTTGAGAGGCGGGCCGAAAGAGCAAAGTTCAACCCCCGCAAAAACACAACTAGTAAACACACACACACAGCGAATACAGTAGCTTATGCTTTATTTAATGAGTTAGATACAAGTATAGGCGTTGTGGAAAATGAGAACCTCATAATTAACATCATCTCATCATGATAATGATACTGGATGATATGATTTGTTTCATCAATTACGAATGTGATTCTACACCTGACTTTCAACTCAAAAGGAAGATTACAAGCTTTGTACATAGACATTACACTGAAAATTATATTTTGTTCGGTGTTAATCATAAAAATGTTTAGTGAGGTCGTTGGTTAAATGGGCTGGAGTGAATGAATCACAGTCCTTCAGTAAGTGGGTAAAGCACTTAGAGAAGTTCAATTCGTACACAGAAAGACAATTAAACACTGTTCAAGACACGTTTTAGCGTAGTAGTTAGGAGTCGTGTGTATAGTGTTGCATAGATAGATTCGGCCAGTGTTTATAAGGACGGGCAGCTGTTGTGCAACATATCTGATTACGTTCGAAACTTTAATCAGATTTCTTCCTAAATCTAAAATCACACTTCTAAAATCACACTTCTAAAATCACACTTCTAAAAATGCTTTATTTAACTTAAGGACTATAAATACATCAGAATGCTGGTACAAAAAACTCGTAACCTAACACAATGTAGCTGAATGTAATGAAACATGACACATAATATTCGTTTAGCTGTGATATCCGACAGTTTTCATTATACTTTCTAATATATATAATGAATATGTATACTTTTAGTTGAATAGACACTGAATGGAAGCATTTGGCATAAGGTGTTCACATACACTGGGTTACAGCCCCCGCTCCTGTGCCAGGTAAGTCCATTACGGGTTCACCATAGCCTGTGCTACTTGGAATTTTGTTCCGAGTAGCTGAATCTAAAACAACAACAACACTACTGGGAAAGTTTCTTTCAGTCACAGCTTGAAATCTGTTTCTCTTCCTCTCTCTCCACACGCACACACTTTGTTTTTCAATTAACATTCCACCCTTTTTCGTCTATCCATTCTTACATTCCCCTCCCTCTCTGTCACCCCAAACTTCACCTCCCTCTATACGCACTCTTCATTTGTTTTTCGAGCAGTGCCTCAGTCACTCAGAAAAAAAAGGCGTAGGGGTGCATGGCGCTCGCAGTAAACAATGCTTTTTTATTCCTCTCGCTTTAAATGGGCCTCCGAAAGGCAGTTGGAGGAGTTTTATTGTGCAAGTAGAATCGTCTCCTTTTATTCGTATCCTCCCTCCCTCCCCCTCAGTTTAATGTGTAAACATTTATTTTACGAGATTTTGTCGTCATTAGTAAAGCAATATACAGGGTGTAACAAAAGTTCTTGTAAACAAAATGGCATTTATTTTATTTATTTTTGATGAATTACTTTCATCTATGTATTAATGTTGATAATGACTGTAGACAATAGTTACTATGGTGGCCATGACGATGCTAATGATAAGTAAAGGATTCAATTCAACAGAAACCATTAAATACTCCATGGCTATTCCATTCACCTGGGTTCTAGGAGACTCGAAGCGTGGACCCCACGTGTGTAAAGTCGAAACTCTATCCACCGAGTTATTGATCAGTCTTAATAGCTTAATAAATAGCCATTAATTATACTCCATGGCTATTTTTACTCGTAAATTCAGCACCAACATCTCCCCGTCTTTTTTGACTGCTTCAGCTAAAGACTAATCCTTGACGCAGAGACATACAAAGGGTAAAAAAGAGTATTTTTCACAGGGGAATCTAATTCTGGTGAGATTTTAATGTATAAAAGGCATTACCATCCATCACTGGCATTACACGGATGATGTTGACATTAACGGGAGTTTTACTCGGTATTTTCCCAGACTTTTGGCCAAATTTAAACAGGCCTCCGAGTTTTACTGCTGCTTTCATGAAATACTCGAGTCGGGAATTCAAGTCCGAATTTTAAATGTTATTTTTGAGTTTTAACCAGCCTGTCCTAGAGGCTTATGTTCACGTACTGGGACATTGAGAAGGATTTTATATAGACAAGGTACAGCGGCTAAACTAATCTATGCTTTCATCTCCAAACCAATCTGTGTTTTAACCTCGAAATCCGTCTTTACTCTAATATCCAAACAAATCTATGCTTCAATCTACAAACGCAATCTAAGCTTTAATCTCAAAATCAATCTCAGCTTCAATATCCAAACAAAATGTGAGCTTTAATCCCCATGAACTTCATGGGGAAGTTTTTGAGGGTAAATATCCTTCACAAAGTTTACGATAACAGAGTAACAGACAGACTGTGACTTTATGATAGCCCGTCAACTAATATAGTGAATCTATTTATATAATTTTTGGGCTTTGAAGTTACAGTGAGAGGCCCCTCACTGGGGATAACTAGACGGCCGTGATGAGAGTGACAGGTGAGAATTCGTTAATGAGATTCTCATTGAGGTCCTGATGAGTGACAAGTGAAGGGGGGGGGGGGAGAGGCGGCTCTTACTGAGGATAACCAGCGAGTTTCTGATGTCACTGAGGCGGTGATGGTCCTCTGACTGAGGATAGTTAATGAGGTCGACCTGCCGTTCCTGATGGGAGGGACTGTAAGGGGGGGGGGGACTCTTTACTGGAGAATATTCTGAGTGATCGTGTTCTCACTAGATCCTGCGTAGCCTTGAGGCAGCCAGCGTCACACTTAAGATATCCTGGGGCCAGATTCACGAAGCAGTTACGCAAGTACTTACGAATGTTACATCTTTACTCAATCTTTGACGGTTTTAGTTACATTTATTAAACAAGCATGAAAACTTACCAATAAACTGTTGTTCTTATTGTAAACAAAGCCGCCAAAGATTGAGAAAAGATGTACAGGTTCGCAAGATGTACGAACGTACAAGTGAATAACTGCTTTCGTAACTGCTTCGTGAATCTGGCCCCTGGTGATTGTATTACTCACCAGATCCTGTGTATCCTTGAGGCAGCCAGCGCCACACTGTACAATCATAGTTGATACCTCGGCCCTGCACCTCGCCCAAGCCTCCGCCACCGCCTTCCTCTCTACCACCGTCATGGACATCCCCTCGCCAATAGTGCCATTAACTGCAACATTAATAACGAGAGTGTGAAGGGTGGGAGGGAGAGTTGGAGTGGGAGACGAAGAGAAATAAGGAAGATGGAAGGGAAATGAGGAATAGAATAGGGTTCGTGGAAGAGAGAAACAGCAAACTAAAATAATAACATTATGATTTTGTAGTTTGGTAAATATAAGTATTTTTAGGAAGTTTTGCCTCACGAAAAACGAATTTTACCTAACGAGAAGCGTAATTTTACCTAAAGAGAAGGGGAAATTTTGCCTAACGAGAAGCGTAACAATTCAGGTAACCAGCATATCCTACCTAGGTGCCCATATACACTAACCCAAGGTATATCCACAAGGTATATTCTCAGCGTATATTTTATTTTAATCACCTGCTGCCCGATTTTTACATTGGTGTCTATAACACACGCATTGTCACGTATTGGGGCTAAATATACTAGTATTATATATATATATATATATATATATATATATATATATATATATATATATATATATATATATATATATATATTTTTTTTTTTTTTTTTTTTTTTAATAGGGAAGGGAGTACCACCTCTGGCTGGAAGAAGGGGGACCCATAGCCTCGGAGGAAACCACACATAACGCATTGGAGGGAATGTATACAGTTTCTGTGTGCTTTTCTCCTACCACCCCCTTCCCTTTTTTTTCCCCTTTATTGTGTATTTAAAGGTTACAAAACATACAAGACAAATGCCTAAAGGTTATGGATCTCTTGAAGCTCCTCCGCTTCTGGACAGGAACCGAGGACGCAGCAAGCATTTCCCCTCTGGATCGCCACACTGAGACGCTGAAATAAAAAACTGGAAGCCCTTGGGTCTCTGGTGACGTCAATGATTATATATATATATATATATATATATATATATATATATATATATATATATATATATATATGTCGTACCTAGTAGCCAGAACGCACTTCTCAGCCTACTATGCAGGGCCCGATTTGCCTAATAAGCCAAGTTTTCCTGAATTAATATATTTTCTCTAATTCTTTTGTTATGAAATGATAAAGTTACCAATTTCATTATGTATGAGGTCAATTTTTTTTTATTAGAGTTAAAATTAACGTAGATATATGACCGAACCTAACCAACCCTACCTAACCTAACCTAACCTATCTCTATAGGTTAGGTTAGGTTAGGTAGCCGAAAAAGTTAGGTTAGGTTAGGTTAGGTAGGTTAGGTAGTCGAAAAAACAATTAATTCATGAAAACATGGCTTATTAGGCAAATCGGGCCTTGCATATTAGGCTGAGAAGTGCGTTCTGGCTACTAGGTACGACATATATATATATATATATATATATATATATATATATATATATATATATATACATATATATATATATATATATATATATATATATATATATATATATATATATATATATATACTTGTGTCTTTTATTTTCAAACATTTCCTGACTCGCCTCCAACAGCCTTTTAAATGTAATTTGACATTTCATCGGAATGTTCAATAGATGTCTTACAAAATCGTAACTATCGCTAAAATTGAAGCCCGCACAAACGGCCTAAATCGTTTGCAAATATATTCATGAGTATTCATGAGTTGCAAGCATAATGACTCAACCCGAGTGAATATTGCTTCAACTCTTCCCCCTCATAAAGACCAGCTTGTCCCCACGATTTGACATGCGTCACATTTAAAGTGAATTTTCTAAGTAATAATCATTTGAATCTAGACGGTCTACCTAACCTCTCGAGGTTGGGGGCTTAATGGTAAGAGGAAACGTCAATATTGCTGAGTTTTTATCGTCAAACATAAAATGAAGCTGCATCAAGTCCAAAAATATACCACAAGACTAGTCCCAGAGATGAGAGGCACAATTTACAAGGCTCGCGAGAAATTTGATAGGGCTGTATTTTATGTAAGAGGAAGGCTTATCTAAATAGTAAATCCAACATAGAATCTACCTAGGCGAAGTGATAGTATGGGCAGACATTTTGATTAGGTTTTTAGCCTCGCCTACTGTTATGGGGACAAATAAGTACCTTAATCCACCACAATGATATTCGAGCCAGTTTGATCAGTGTAAAGAGTAGTCAAGAAATGGCACTAACGAAGTGGTTGAGACTGACTCCATGTACAGCTTCACATATGGATGTGTCAGAACGATAGGTGAGTACACCTCAAGCCC